ACTCTGTTGAAACCTGTGAACTCTTGTGAAGCTGGAGCAAGCTCGTCAAGCCATCATGGTAAAACCTGTCAACTCGAGAAGAGGCTGTCTAGATGGGTCGACACGTCGATGGGAAGTCGTTAAAGTGCAAAATGCCCCCCCCCCCCCTCCCCGTCAACAAACAGCGCCCAGATCTATTCATCAACTTGAAATTAGCCTTCGCAAATGTCAGGACTTGACACTGAAAGTACTACAGTTGAAAAGCGTCACCAACCTGCGCACGACATCAAAATCGCCGTATTTGGCAGCAAAAAGTAGGGAGACGACGATTTCCGTGTCGCGATTGCCAATCCTCCGTCGAGGATCGTGTTTCTTCGAGTCGGCATGTAGCAGACTGTCATAATTGTGGAAATTGAACGATTCAATCAGTTTCTGAACGAAGAATGCCTTTGCCGAGCACCACACTGCCGGTAGCTGAGGGCTTACCTGACAAAAAGCAACTCCACGTGCTGAATTGCCTAGCCTATCCAGAGGTGGAGAGAAAAGGGCGATACCCATCAAATTTGGAACAACGACGATCATCACTCCAGAAACACCGGATTTCGCTGGTAGACCGACCTGAGAACGAAAGAGATAGTTTATTAAGGGCTTACGATAGGGGTGGAGACAGAGAGCCACCTTATAGGCACGTCGATTTTCCAAAGTGCCTTGTAGAAGGAGGGGCAAACCCATCCGCAGTGGCTCCTAGCCATCGGCTTTCAATGCCAGTTGTTAAAGCACATCAGCGTAATGGATAAATTCTGAGCTTGGCTTATTCTAGGCCCCAATCAAGCCTCCTCTTGTAATCTGAGTAACTCAACTTTTGTTTTTTCCCGTTTTTCAGTAAAATTCTTTGAAATTTTGAGTTGAGTCAAATTTTTGATTCTCAATTTTTTTTGAGTTCCAAATTCTCGTTTTTGAGTCGAATGAAATTAAAGACTTCACCAGAAACATCGCTATCGGTCATTGCCTGGAAATAGGGAGGAAAAAGATTGATTGGCATATACTACTGGTCCGTTCCGACAAGGGCCAGTCGTACGGTGGAGATTCCCAAGGGGGTCGTCTGTGATCGTTTTGGGAGGGGAGTGGCCGTATTTCGCTCGAGAAATTTTTTAACAACTGATTTTTCCTGTTTCGCGCACAAGATCCACCTCATTGGAGACTCCCATTGGATCGTTGGAGGCCGTATTTGCTTCCAGCCCCCACGCTCGATTAGCCACCTCGACTTGAGGCAAAACTTTGGCGGAAAAAGTGGCAGGATCTTCTGGAGATGAATGACTTGCGGGAAAATAGAGAAAACATTAACGAAATGGATTGTAGCTTAGCGGAATGAGTAGTACTTACCTTAGAAGGAGTATAGATAGAGAAGACCGGTTAAATCTTGCCTGAAAACTTTCACCCAACGACAGGAAAGCGCTCTGTATTTTTCCGTCCCAGCACACCTTTCTAACGACTCGTAACCCAGTCCGGGAGATCAAATATGGCGATCTCACTATGAAACTTCTTAGACCATTTTCGTAGCTAGTTGAGCCCTGAATATACTGTAGCACCACAACATGCTTAAAAAATTGAAGTCATGGTGCGAATTGCAAGCATACTACACTATCACAATGCTCCCTGCACGTGACTCTCCTCCCTGGGTACCTCTTCTCGTCCTTGTTTCCTCCTTTGCGGAACTTCCACTGTCAGCCCAAAATAAATGAATATAGCCTTCGTTTTTACCTGGAAAGCAAATTTTCCAGAAAAATCGTACATTCCACACGAGTACATAAGTGAGAGGACGTCCCGGCATGGACGTGGATGAATGCAAAGTTCATCAGTGAGTGGACAAACGCCTGAATTCTCAGAATAAGAAAGAATTCTGCTGAGCGGAACAGGAAGACAATCGAAAAAAGCTTGCCTCCATTCGCTAATGTGGCAGCCATCACAGCTGCTGTGTCACAATTTGTTTCCAAAGAACAAAGTTGAAAATAGAGATCTAATTCTTCACGAAGACCCTGAAAATCGCCCACTCAACAATTCTGTGAATATCATCCTTCATCATGCAGTCTTGTTCGCTGCAGGCCGCTGGGGCGTGTCAAGGGACTGAGCTTAGCGCGGCGCCAGCCGCCAACTTTTCCATCAACTGTTGTCGCCTACCCGCTTCAACAACAGGTGGTGATCAAGCTGGCATTGCGCCAAACCCAGCCCCTGACATGCTCCAGTGTCCGCAGCGAACAAGGCTGTACGTGCCTGAACGTACCTGTGTACCCGGTGGGAAGCATTTGTTCTCTTTCATATAGTATGAGAGAGCATAGTTACGGTCGGCAGTGTCCCTTTCAGAGAGGAATCTAAACGAGAGCCTCGGTCGGCAAGGAAGGGGAATTTCAAAGATCGAAAAATTGAAAAAAATGAATGGATCTTCTAGAGAAAAGACCGCTAGAGAAAAAGTATAACTTTAATCGATTGCGAACCTCAGGGCATATAAGAGCGACCTGCAGGTTCCCTTTTCTTTTAGAGTTTAAGGCACACCCCCCTGTATAAAGGGTACCACCACAAATGTTCACTCGCTCTACTTTTGTTTTTTTGTATTAATTGATGTGGGTAATATTTATCGAGTTGGAAATGCTTGAGAACTAATAAAATGATAAAAATATGTAA